CACGTATATCAATGCCACTGAGAGTCTTTGATCCTTTTTGTAAAAGTGGATCTCGTAGCCCTACAAAATCACCAATGGATAGTTTTGACAAATGCCATGTCAAAAAGGATAGACATTTGATTTTTCTATGGAACCCAAGCCCCCGAAATAAGGGAAGGAGGCCATTTGAGGATCTCAGCTGCCCCTCTGGCTTCCGTTGCATGCATATTCCACAGGGTTTGGAGGTAGCCCTCCGAAATATTAGCTGAAAGCTTCCTCAGAAAGCAAATCTTTCCCACATCCTTCCCTGCAGTTCCTCTTTAAGAGGTGTCAGCATGGCTGAAAGAATGAAGTGGCTGCACATTGTCTGGCAGTGCTATTATGTGCTTAACATTTCCATAACAAAAGTGCCACTCGACTTCTCCCCGATTAATGCAGCTCGAGGGCTCTTGTCGGCCTTTAATAAAACATTGTTGAAATCATTTATTTAGAGCCCCTGGTTACTAGTGGGAGAATGTCCATCTTTGTGCCAAAATATAGTGTATACAGTCCACTATTTTGTAGTAGATCATTCTGTTATTTGAGAAATTGATTAAATGGATGCCTTAGAAGGTATTTATGCTAATAGCACATTACTTATGTCATTCAGATAGTCAAGGGTGAACCTTTTCAACTGTCCAGCAGAGACAATCCCTCAAATAGAATACAGTAACATCCGACTTTACTTTACTTAACCCACAAGGCTGCCCGGCCCACTGGAAACCCAGCCCTCCCAGAACTACTCTTGGGGCTTCAAGGGGTTTGGAACAGGCTGCCTCCCAACAAGTTTAGTTTGAGGAGCTGGGTGGAATGGGGTCAACTGACACAGTTTCTCACGTTCCTTCGTGTGAGAGGTCAGAAAACAGATAACGGACACTTTTCTTTTGACGGGTTCGAAAGAAGATGCATGAGGTTCTATCCCAGTTGGACCCAGTGAGCTGTTAATTCAAAGCCAAAACTGACTGTAGGAAGATTTTTAGCACACAGCTTGATGTCTCCGAGAGTTCTCATGGTATTTCTCTCTCTTTTTTTTTTCTCTATGACATGGTCCTGCTGAGATGATGGCGTGGGGGTTTGCGTGCAGAAGTGCTGAGGAGGGGCACCCCACTCCAGGCAGTTTCTCTTGACTCTTCGAGAGAGGTGCTACTGGTTCTGGGCTGTGTCTTCACTCACGTGGGCCCAGTTGGGAGAGCTGCGAGGCACCCCAGGTGTGTCAGAGCATGGTGGCCTCTTAGGTTTGTGCCAGTTGACACCAGGAGCTGCGCCCTTATGTAGAGACATGTGTCAGGGCCCTGCCTGGGCACAGGGATGTCCTGCGACTTTGGAGGAGAATTTCCTTCCCTCCGGCCATCCCCCTCCCCTCGCATATGTGTATTGCTGGCGTACATTGCTATATATTGTTAAAAATAAACAGAGACCTTATGTTATGTCCATTGTGGTCATAAACAAAAGCGTTTCTGTGTGCTTGGGTGAGCAATGAAGCCTGAACCTTCTTCTATTTACTGTATGGTCACTGTCAGTTCAATGAACTGCCTCCTTGTTCTCCACCATTGTCCCACACTCCCTTAAACATTTGTCACTGAAGTGCCTCCAAAGACAAATAAACTGTCACTGAGAATGCAAACCTGCTAACAGGGGAAATGGGACCAGCTTCGAGGACACATGATGTTGCGTGAAATCCAGAGGGAGCTCCTTGCACTCTGGAAGGCTTCTGAGAAGCATGGCACTTTTCGAGAATCTCCAGGAAAAGCCAGAGATACTCTTTCTTTCGGTAATGGTACTTCCAGGCATTCTCCAAGAGACGTCTGGCCGTCTCAAATGTCCCAAATTCCAAAAGGTTCCCCAGAGAGCGTGAGATATTACAGATGTCAACATCTGTAAAACTTCTTTCTGCCTAGGAGCAGATGGCAACGTACAGTCCCACCACCGAAGGTTCTAGCATCTCAGCAACCTGTTCTGGAATCCACTAGGTCTGTGGAGGGACCAGGGGGCTCCTGGGCTCTAGCACAGAACTGTTTAAATTAAAATGAGCCACCGATCAATGTTCACTTTCTTCAAGGAAGAAAGCGTAAAGCCTCGTGTCCCCTCTCCCCAACAGCGAGCTGTGTTGATTTATTCCAGGCAGATGCTTTTGACAGGACCCTGTAAAATCAAGTCGTGAGTTTATTGTACCAGTTAATTATCAGGCCTTTTCTAGTGCTAATGCCTTTTACTTCTTACTGGGGAAAAGTGGGTCTTTTACTGGGACAAAGACTTAACTTTTAGTCAAGAATGTGTTAAAATAACAGGAGATGGAGATGATTTAAATATATTTCAGGACGAGCACAGGAGCACTGCGAACTGGAGGTTTGTAAAGAAGGCTGATTTCATTTACAAGTCTCTCGGAATACTCTTTGTTCACTTCCCAAAGAAACAACGCTTTCAGCTTTGTTTTAACAATATGTTTACTCAACCATTCAGGTGACTGGGGCTTGCAGCCACACACCAACCACTCTCCTCGGCTCCCCTGACACAACTCTCTCAGCCTTTCTGATCCTACCCGTGGACCAATCTTGGTTTTAGATGCAACAAGAAGTGCCTCGAAGCCCTCCATAAAAGCTGAGAAAAGAGCGAGTGAAGAGGCAAAAAGCAACCTGGAAAGTAGGGTTGGGATTTGGGGGGGTGGGGTCGGAAGGGGGCATAGCTTTGTTAATTACTTCAGGCAGCAGAGAAATCTGGTTATGTTTTCTCAGTACATGTTAATATCATATAAAGAGACACGAGATCTTGCTAATCTGTCGACCCCTCAGACAAAGTTTATTTGTGGTGACTTTTAAACTCCTGACTCGCCTTCCAATCACCGCGTTTAAAATGAAAAGCTTTAAATAAACACCAGGAATAGAAGATAAATAAACTTTTTTTCCCTCTTGCAAGTGCCTAGCTTGGCGAGGTTCAGGCTCAAATCCCCAGAGGACAGAGCGCTCTCTTTTGTGTTAATGTTTAAAAGATTTTCCAATGCCGGAGTTTATTCCTACTGCAAACATTTCTATTTACAAGGTCAAGTGTATCAGCACTCGACACAGCTTAAGAGTGTAATTATTTATCTAAGGGCGTTTGAGTGTAGATCAGTAGCTCTGGCAGGAACCCAGCCTTCAGCCCACTGCTAAACAACTCTTCACAACAATATTACAAGTTCTGGTGATTGTTCCTCTCCCCAGTGTGTTTACTTTTGCCCGCCTGAATGTTTTGTAACAAAATTTTGTACTTTTTCACCCGAAGTGTGAAAATGACTTTGAAGCGGTGTGCCAGGTTTCCTAAGACCTATTGGTAACAGATGTTATTGGCCTGTTTGATTGTAGGAGAATGTCTAGAGCCAGATAGGACACTCTTGGAGGAGGGGCTTGGGGGCTCCCCCCTGGAAAGGGGGGAGGGGAGACAGACCTCCGGGCTATCCCCAAAATCTGTAGGGAAGACACAATTTTGTGAGTTCTCTCCGCAAACGTAAAAACCAATGCCGACCGGCGGGTTGTATCTTTAGCTGCTTCATTTACACATGTCTAATTGTTCATTAAATTAGAGGCAGAAATAATAGCCCTCATTTCTTGTCTTGTGCTGTATTTTAATTTCAGTTGATGGTTGATAGATTCCCAGTGGCCCCTCCAGCCCCCTCCTTACCCATTATTGGGTAAACCACAATGTAGCTCTGGAAAGTAACTACACCATTTTCATTATTTAAAAACTCTTTACTGATGTACACATTTTAATAAAACAAATAAAAAATACACAAAGCCATAGTTACTTAAAACATAGGACTTTTTTTTTAAAGGATGTCTATAAAAATACAATGTTTAAGGCAGTTTGGAAATGCACTTATATATTTCTACAATGTCCATAAATTCTCTTGAAAATAACAATGTTAACTTCAAATCTATAAAATACACTGTACATTTAAGGACTGTTCTAGAGAGAGAACACTTCCCAATGGACTGTGGGTTTGGATCCCTGGTGACAAACGGAATCTATACATTTCAGAGAGGAAAGGCAAAACGTGGTTGCAGATTTAAAATTTTAATTTCTTCTTAAAAATAAATTATTTCTGAAGCATACAATTTATAAAAATTCTATATACAAAGTACAGCAACTGGTAACAAATCCCAGTTTTAATACACTTTATATAGAAGTACCAGGGTTTAGCACCCTGATAAAAGCAGAGGCAATATATTTTCTCCGCATATTTGTACATACAATTTCTTGATGTAAAGAACAAAAATGACAAGACAAACATCCTAAAGAGGCTTTCATAGATGGCAGTGCAGAGCTCTTTTACGTAGAAAGTTGCATTGTTCAACACCACCAGCAACCCTTTAGATCAGCATCTTTTGACCTTTAATCCTAAGAAATGTGCTAAGAGATCAGAGTGGTGGCAATGAAATTAAGGTCAAGGGCGCAGTTATCCAAAACTAATTCATGCATATTAACCCCTTCCCAGTCCTCCTCCCCCGCCCAAACAGACAATTCTGAGCGCTGACCAAGAGTAAACAAGTGAATCGGTTAAGTTTACTCACGATTGCAAGGTCCTCACTGGCCACAATAAAAGTCGACACCGACAGTCCCCCCACGCCCCCTCCCCTTGCGCAGCCAAAACGCTCACACACACGCTCACACGCTCACACACACACACACACACACACACACACACACACACACGGCCCCTTTTGCAAACGTAAATCCTCCTCCTTCAAACCCCTGCCCCGAGCCCGCTCCCGGGACACCGTTAGGGCCCCACAGGTCGGCTTCCTTTCTCCGGAGCCCGGGACTACGGTCCGCTACCAGCCCCGCGCCCGCCCCCGCGCCCGCCCCGCGCCCGCGCCCGCCCCCGCTGCACCCCCGGCGTCCCGAGCTCCCGCGGGCCGCCTTCCGCAGGGCAGTCGCGCCGGGAGTTCCCGCGGCCCGGAGTGGGGGCAGGGGAGGCTGTCCGAGGAGTCCCGCGCGCGGGAGGACGCGGGGGCGGCGCCGAGGGCCGCGACGGGGGACCCGCCCGGCGGAGTCTACTCGGGGCGCCGCGGGGAGCGATCGCAGCCGCCCCCCGGATCCCCGGCCTCGGGGCCCCCGGCGCCCGCCCTCCCGCAGCCCGCCGCGGCGGCTAGAAGAGCAGCGGGAGCAGCAGCAGCAAGATGGAGGCGAGCGCGGTGCGGCCGCCGCCGCTGCTCCTGCGCCCCGGCCCGTACGGCAGGTCCCCGCGGCCGCCCGCCGCTGCAGCGCCGCCGCCCGGGCGCGCCGGGTGCGGGGCGCCGTCGTCGTCGTCCAGCAGCTGCTCGCCGCCCGCGCCCCCCGCGCGCGGCTCGTCTTCGTAGTCCTCGTCGTAGTAGTCGTCCAGGCCGCCGTCCGAGCCGCTGCTGCCCGGGCCGTTGCCCAGCTCGGCGCCGAAGCACAGGCGGGCCATGTTCTCCTTGACCGACTCGCAGATGGGCCGCTCCAGCCCGTCGCACACGCAGTCGTTGAGCAGCGCCGCCTTGGGCACGGCCAGCATGTCCTCGATGACCGTGCGGCACTCGTCGGTGCAGCGCAGCCCGTTGAAGAGCTTGCCGCAGTAGGTCAGGTAGCGGCCCAGGGCCAGGTTGCAGCGGCTGTCGCGGTCGCAGCGCCGCCGGGCCTCGGTGCAGCCCATGACCCCGCCCGCGCCCGCGCCGCCCGCGCCGCCGCCGCTCGTCCGGGGCAGGCACGGCTCAATGGCGCGCTTGGTGGACTTGCAGTTCTCGTCCTGCGCGCAGTCACAGTCCTCCAGGGCAGGCCCGCGGCGCGTGTGGTTGAGCTGAATGAGCGCCGAGATGCAGTGGCTCGGGCAGCGCCAGCGCGACGAGAACGAGGCGGCCGAGGCCGGGAAGGCGGCGGCGGCGGCGGCGGCGGCGGCGGCCCCGGCGCGTCGCCCCCGTCGCGCTGCGCCAGCACCGGCGCGCACGCCTCGGCGTACTGGTTGTAGGCGTAGCTGCACTCCGGCTCCCCCTGGCACTGCAGCAGCGCCTGCCAGCAGATGAGGCGGCGGCCGTGCGCCAGCCCCGAGCCCCGCGGCGCCGAGCCCAGCAGCTGCAGCAGCGCCATCAGGCACAGCCAGGCGCCCGGCACGGTCCCCGCGCGGGCCCCGCCGCCGCCGCCCAGCAGCCCTGCCACCATCGCGGGCCGCGGCGGCCGCCGGGCGAGGAGGGGAAAGGAGACGAGGCGCGGGCAGCGGCGGACGCGGAGCCGGCGGAAAAGTTTGCCCCAGTCCTGCCAACTTCTTGCATGAGTGTTTTCATAAATCCATGCGCGCCGCTCGCTGGTGCCGCGCCGCTCGCAGAAGGTCTGGCCGCCCGCCCGTTCGCTCGGGCTGCGGTGGCTCTCCCAGAAACGCACGGCCGCGGAGAGCCCCTCCGGTCGTCCCCCGGCGGTGGCGGGAGGCGCTCAGTGCCGCGCCGGCGGGCTGCGGGCCGCGGGGCCGCGGCGGGGCTGCGGGACCGCGCGGCGCCGCGGGTGCATTTTGCTCCGCGCCTGCAGATCCGTTGTGCGGCCGCGGCGGCTCCTTCCTCCCGGGCTCAGCGCTGCGCCGCGGCCGCCGCCACCGCCGCCGCCGCCGCCGCCGCCAACGCCGCCAACGCCGCCAACGCCGCCGCGGGCTCTAGCATCGCGCCGCTTCCTGGCCCGCGTCCGGGCGCTGCCCGCCTTCCCGCGGCCCGGCCGCCCGCGTCCCCTCCCCCTCCGCCCGCGGCGACCCCGGCCTCGCCAAGCTCCCGGGAGCCCTTTCCGGGCGGCGCTGGGAGAACAAGAAACTCGGCGCGGCCGGGGAGCGGCTCCCGGGCTTCCCTCGGCGGCGGCTTCTCGGGTGACACGGGGCCCGGGGAGCGGATCCGCTGAGCCCGGCGGCGGACTCTCTGGCTGCGAGGCTTTAAATACAAAAGTGGGCCGGGAGCCCCCGCGTGGTGCCGCGGTGCCCCCTCATTATGCATGCATGGAAAAGCAAACAAACAAAAACATTAGCAACGCTCCTCCAGCTCGCCGGGCCCCGGCCCCGCGCGCTCCGAGCCTGCCCGCTTTCTCCTTTCTCCACTCTCTTTCGCCCTTTGCTCGGCCCCCTTTCCCGGCTTTTCGAGATGCTATTGGTCCTGGCTGTTGTTGTTGAAACTTTTTTTTTTTTTTTTTTTTTTTTTTTTTTTTTTTTTTTACGAGCCGCTGGAGTGGAGTGGGGTTGCGGAGTGGGGGAGGGCGGGGAGGGTGGTGGGCAGCTCACATTCAGGCATTCAGAGCTTGAAAGGAGAGGCTTAAGGAGCCTGACAGAGGCCTGGGAGCTCCTCCTACTCTTAAGGAGGCTCGGATCTGGAGCCCCGGCTCGCGCTCGGAATCAGCGGGCAGGGCTCGGGGGCAGCTGCTTGCATCCGGCTCGGCCACAGGCCTTTTTGTTGGGGTCTTTTTTTCCCCTTTTCCTTTTTTTTTTTTTTTGGATAGTTTTATTAATTCTCCCTGGCTCCCGTCTGTGCCTTCGACTGCGTTCAGAATTCAGTTTGTTTTTTCTAGTTCCCTATCTTTGGGACCAGCTGGGGCGGGGCGGGGGGGGGCGGCTAGGGAGTTTGGGGGGGATCAGAGAATTTAATGTTGGACTTTGAAACTTGAGAGACATAAAAAACAAAAAACCCAAACGCACACAAGAAATAGGCACACGCTTCCGTTAGGGGGATGCCGATGAAATCTTTCCGACGCCCCCCGCCCCAGCACACGGTCCCACTGCGCCCCTCCGGCAGGTACGGCTCCTGAGCCAGGCATCATCGTCAATTGCAAGCCATAAACCCAAATCGACCAGATTAATTTTTTAGGAATATGAGTTTCTAACTCGGACGGCGATGAAAAAATAATTACAGCATTAAAAATCATGAGGAATGTTGAGCAGCACCATATGGCCGCAGTCAGAACATAAAGGAAGGGGGTAAATTGGCACGCACCGAGGTTTTTTATGAAAGTGTGTGTTTCAGTCCCTCCCTCGGTTAAGGGAAGCCGCCCGGTGGAGCAGCCCCGGCCATCCCGGCGCGGGAGTTTGCAAACTACCTTAATTGTGGCGCAACGCAGCCTTCCACCGCCAGAGGCTCCGGGCTTCTGCGGCCTGTCAAAAACTGGCGCTTTTTTTCCTCCCCTTTCCGTGGAGAGACTATCAACTCCATCTGTCACAAAAATCAAGGCTAACTCTCCTCTCCAGAAGCAGAGGCGGCCGGGGCTCCAGTGAGCGCAGCGTTCGGCTGCCCATCTCTCCCCGGAGGCCCAGCGAATTCGAAATGGCAAAAGTCAGAGCAGAGCCTCAGCGTAGGAAGATTTATCAGGATGGAAAAAAAAATAAAAAAAAAAAAAAAGGCCTCCCTTTCCTGGGGAGATTGCTGCATTGCTCGAGGGCTGTCTGCCTTAGGAGGCTGCACCTCTGCAAGCCCCCAAAATAAAAAATAAATAGGACTTTAAGAGAAACAGGTTGAGGTAAGATAGACCACATTGCCTTGACTTGAGTTGAAAGCACAAGATCAAGCCCAAGAGCTATCTGTCTCTGTGGGGTTTTTTGGCTTTGTTTTTGTTTTTTTGCTTTTGCTTTTGTTTGTTTTGTTTTGTGTGTGCGTGTATGTTTGTTTCATTTTGTCTTTTTAAATAGAAAAGCTGCAACTGTGTGGCCCATGGCAACAAGTTATTTCCCAGGCTCTGGGTGTGTTATTATTTGGAGTTTTCTCAGTCCTGCCAGGAGGGCTTGGACCAGTCACACTCTTCCTCCAAGACTCGGATCTTTCACATGTAGGGTGCAAAGCCAGATTAGACTCTTGAAATCAAGCCTTTTCATCCTTTAGTGCTCTGTGATTTTAGGCTTCTAAGGACAAACTCAACATTCAGCTGCATTTTTAAACTAATGTGTGTTGAGTTCCTTTAGAAGGGTGAGTCCCAAATCTTAGTGAGCCATGAGACTTGCGGGTTGGCCTTGTTAAAACCCAGACAACTGAGCCTGCTTCTGAAATTCCTGCTTCATTCAGTAGGGCTCCTGGGGCCTGAGAATCTGCATTGCTAACAAGTTCTTAGGGGCTGTTGCTGCTGCTGCTGCTGCCACTTGTCTGGGGACCAAACTCTGAGAACCACTACTCTAGAGGTCCATATGAACTTGCCCAACCTGATCTTAATTCAGCTCTCAGTGAGATTTAAGGGAGTCCCAAGAATTTTGCATGCTCTGGAGACCCCTCCACCCCAGTCTCATGGCACTCCAGAGCGGTGGAGCAACCAGCTGCTTCATAGACCAAGCCTGAGAAGAAGGTTCGGATGAGCTAGGAGAACGAACCTCCTCTTCCAGAAGTTCCTTGCCCCCACCATGAATACCACTGTGTCTCACATCCAGGTTTTCATTAGTAACCACCAGACTCCCAAGGCATCCCTCATCACCCAGCCACTAATCCCCCTATTACTCTGCACATCTCTTAAACTGACTTAATTGTCTTCATGAGCAACCTTTCACCTGAAAATACACCAGTTCCACTGGAGCTCTCAATCTTTTCTCACCAAATCTCTCATACCTCAACCTGCTTTCTGGGCTGGATTTTTTGTTGCTGTTGCTGGGGGGGGTGGGCTGGATCTTCACCTTCTTGCTCTAAGACCTGGCTGAAGGCTATGGAATAGGATAAAATATTTGCAAACTACATGTATATGCAAAAATATACATATAAATGACAGATGATGAGAATAGACATTTTCCAAAGAAGACACACAAATGGTCAACAAATATGTGAAAAGGTGCTCAACATCACTGATCAGGGAAAAGTAAATTAAAACCAAAATGAACTCACGACTCACACCTGTTAGGATGGCTTTCATAAAAAAAAAAAAAAGTAACAAATGCTGGTGAGGGTGTGGACAAAAGGGAACCATCATGCACAGATGGTGGAAATATAAATTGACTTCGCCATGTGGAAAACAGAAAGGAGGTTCCTCAAAAAATTAAAAGTAGAACTACCTTATGATGCAGCAATCTTATTTCTGGGCATATAACCAAAAGAAATAAAATCAGTATCTCAAAGAGAGACCTGCACTCCATGTTCATTGCAGGATTATTTGCAATGGCCAAGGTATGGAAAGAGCCTAAGTATCCATTGATCGACAAAGAATGGATAAAGAGAATAAATATAAATATATATGAATATTACTCAGCCGCAAAAAAAGAAGGAAATCTTGCTGTTTGCATCAACACGAATGCAAATAATGCCTTGAAGGGATTATGCCAAGTGAAGTAAATCAGACAGAGAAAGACAAATCCTGTATGTCACTTATATGTGGAGTCTTAAAAAACAGATTCATAGCAACAGTATGGATGGTGGTTTCCAGGACCTGAGGGTGGGTAAAGGGGAGTCGTTGGTCAGAGGCGGCAAACTTTCAGTTACAGGATGAGTAAGTTCTGGGGATCTAAGGGGCAGCATGGTGACTGTAGTTAATAATACTGTGTTAAATACTTGAAAGTTGCTATAAAAGTAAAGCTTTTATCTTCTAGCCCTAATAATAGCAACCAAATGGTAATTATATGAGGTGAGGGTTGTGTTAACTACCCTTATTGTACACATTGCACAATAGATGTTTATCAAATTGGTCACTTTGTACACTTTAAATGTATACAATGTTATATGTCAATTACGTGTCATAGAGCTGGGGTGTGTATGGCAGGGGAAGGGAGAGCTGGGTGGCTTACCCTCCTGGCACCGCTTCCACTCTACAGATTCAAGGCCTGAAGGAGTTTTCTTCCACAGCCCACAGCCCACCAGACGCTGAAGTGAAGTACATAGACCTATGGCTCTTCCCTTGTTCCCACCTCCAAACATCTCTTCCCTCCTCCCTGGGAACGTCTCTAACTTCCTTGACTAGCAGCATTCTGTTAGCTCTTCCAAGAGCCACCTACTGACTCTTTATCACCCTTCTCAACCAAGATTGCTCACAGGAACCAGAGAAGACAGAAAATGAGTTGAGTGGCAGTTTTCTCAATCCTCTCAAGGATGGTAAACAACCAGTACCCCTCCGGGTGCAGAGGAGAGAAGTACGTCTGTCGCTTACAGTGGATGCTGTCTTGGCTAGAGCTTGACCACGGGAGTCTCTGAGTGAGACACATGAAGGATTTCTTATGGAGCGGTAGCCAACCACAATTG